CCTCAAAATTTAAACATTAATTTTCAAAAAACAATTTGATAGCTTTTGAAAGCCGTCTATGACATGTCCAAGTATGGGATGATTCAACAAAACTGTCACTGTCATTCTCCATAGCCTATGGATGGACCATAGCAACCTTAGTTCTTCATACAGAAAATATTGGAAATTGCAATGTTTTTTTTAAAAATCCATATTTTCCACAAAAATAAATATATCGAGGTGAACCAAAAACAAAACTGTTAAGAATAGATGTGACTTGAAAAATAAAACTTAATTTAGAACAATATACGGTTTTGCCACTTTACAGAGTGTCTTAAACTTATGGTGAAAAACATATTTTTGTTTAAACCTGTATATTATAAACGTACGTCAATTTTTTAGAAATTTTTTAAAAAGTGAGCGATTGTCCATTAATTTATCTACAATATTCTTTAATATTCGTTTAAATCCGACATCAAATAAAAAAGTTATTTGCGATTGAAATTTATCGAAAATTTGTGTGGATCGATTATTTTGCCTTTGAGTGTATAATATACTATAATATAATAATTTGTTTGAAATATATACACTGTATATATTTCAAACAAATTATTTATATTTTAAACAAAATATTTATATTTTTACAAATCATTCTATATTTTATAAATCATAATTATGGCACAAACGGCGCCTCATAGTAAGACACGAATACGAACGAATTCGTTTATTAAACCTATATTTTTAAAATCTGTTAAAATTTTTTATGCCAGGGAAATTGTGTTAAACTGTGTAGACACAGTGGAGAACCTTATTTAAAAAAAATATTCTTTCGCGTGTTGTAAAAAAGTTATTTTTCGTTTATAAATATTTGTTTAATAAATAAAAATATCATGTCACCTGATGTTTTATTTTTTATTTTCAATATAAAAACATGTAAACAATATGTGAAATCAGGGGGCCCACTAAAGATTTTAGCGGGGGGGGGGGCAAAATTTGTCGCTACTCCAGTGAGGGTATACTTGGATTTTTTGCATGGCAACTGTTTTTAATAAATTAAGTGGGATGCCATTTTAAAGACACCATTGTCATATATTTTTTCACATTTTGCGGCTTAAAGACATCATCTTTCATATGTTTAACTTAAATTAGAGCATTTTTATTGTTTGCGCAAAGAAAGGCAGTCGCTTTTTTTTTTCTTCTAATTTTGGGATAAGATGGTTAAAGCAGTTAAATAAGGTGGGTGATATATAAAATCCCTGTAATTTGTTGAGTTTTTGATCGAAATCCTTCGATTGCCACTTGCTGGGATCTAAAGTAAAGTATGATTAAATTCAGTTTAGTGCAGGACCACGTACATTTTTTACAAAGAAATTTTTCTTTGTTTAATATTTTTTTAAGGAGCAATTGCTGAGATTTATAATTTAGTACCAAGAGCCTGGTCTAAGGACCTATTGGTGAAACGCTTTGGAGTATTTTGATTTAAAAAAATTAAGAATTCTTTATCCAAATATTCCAAAAGCCTCGAGTTATAGCAACTCTCAAAGATTTTGGAAAGGTTGTATTGCAGGGCAATCGGTCTAAAGTTGTCGGGGTCGCCCTTTTTTTGTATATACACAAAGAAAAAACAGTAACCAGCTATGTGCAGAATAGTACCCAATTTAGTCAATAAACTATTCGAAATCATAAAATTTCTAATCACAGCAATAAGTACTGCCAGCATATATATGCTGTGTCCGTTTTTCGAGGCTAAGCATGGGTATCCCGCTTATCTTATCTCGGCAGTTTTAAAAAGTAGCAAAAAGATTTTGACAAATTTGAATTCCTCTTAAAAAAGTGCCTTAATAAAAATGACAAGTTTTCGTTATTACGATATCTCGAAAATTAAAAAAAGTAAATCAAATGTCTTTTTAGATCATTGTTCTTGAAAATGTGCAACTTTTTCCTAATTTAGCCAATTATAAATCTCTAAAGATAAGCAAGATACCGAAAAACAAATACCCTGTATGTAATAGTGTGCACATTACCGCAAAAGTAGCAATAGTTACGCTATAGGGTACACATAGATCGCTAATATTTCAAATGGTAACCATTACTCTATAGACACTGCAACATTTTAAAGAAAAACATGTTTAAAACATTTGTTTCTTTAAAATGTTGCAGTGCCATGCCTAGTAAGTACTTCTCCGCTAGTGGTGCAATCGTAAGTGTAGTTTGTACATAACTGGTTACTGCGTGAAACAGAAATTAGTGCGTGCATTTCATTGCTGTTTTGCGCAGTAACCAGTCGTGTCACAAACTAGACTTAAGCCCGCTGCACTTAGCAAACCTATCAACAGTGGTTTTTTAGTCTCTCCCACCTTTAATGTTAAGATTCCCGTTCCCTTTACCGGGCTATTGTGCAGCGGGCTTTAGAATCGCACCGCATATCTAGTTTTGGGAAGTACCATTTATTCGTTATTGTAGTTGTTTTTTTATTATTTTTATTTATAGGAAAAAGCGAGTATTAAAAATATGTGAACATTGAAAAAATAAAGCATTAAAATATGTATTAAAATCAAAATTTTCATTTAAAATTAAATGACAATTTATTTTACTAATAGAATTAAAACATTATTGTGGAAATTTTTTATGGATAATACTGCTTTGTTCAGGAAAATGTATGTTTTGAACATTTATTTTTAGTAATTTACATTTTTAGTAATTTACTTAATAAAGAAAATTCAAAAACATTACTCTTAAGCAAACATTTTTATTAATTTTTGTGATTCTTTGTTGTTGCCAAGAAAATTAATATTAAGGTCACCGCATATTATTATATTATACAAATTATTATATAAATATTTTTTTAATAATATACAAATCAAAGTTTGCACATGGTAATACATATGTACAGGGTGTACAGTACCCAACAACTGCACAGCTTCACCTGTTTGATGTTTGCGGATGTCCATCTCAGTTTCTAGGGTACTCTTTTTCGGGTTTGTAAGCGACATACCCATGGTTTTAGTGACCCTTCCCGGAATTGCGCCCGTCCGGACTATTATAATACACCCCCAAAAGCTAGGGGAGCCAAGAACTGGGAGGGTAAACCTTTTGGTTTTCAGAGGATATCCCCCATGCTTGCGGCTGAGTGTTGTTATTTGTAGTATACAGATTATTATTCTTCTGTGTATCCCCTTTTCCCTTCCGAGTTGGATTTCGGTATTAGGTACCTAGCTTCAAGGAAAATTCGAATGTTTACTACCAGTCTTTAGAACCGAAGTATTGCCGTCCACGTCGTGTTGATTAAAATAAGCACCTGACTATAAGGAAGATTCACCCACTCGTTTACTATAGTAGCTTTTAGGCTAAAAATGTAGAAAACAGATGTACACAAAATATTTTATTTCACTGTGCGAAGATCGTTAATTTGTCATGACAGTGCACTGTTTACCATGACTGCGATAAACTGCGTTTCATGCTGATTTTTTTGTTCTATCTCCAATTCAATAAAATTTATCTAATATGTTTTGATTGCGTCCCCCTCCGGACCGACTTGTATTTATTCCGCTTAGCCCCCTAAGAAGGTGTTATACAATGCAAGATCGCTTATAAGTAAAAATTGCGAATTATATTTTTCTTTTTTCAGCTTTTATCTGTATTGTGTCCTTTTTGTAGTGACACTTTTGGATAGCACTTTACCATGAACTGTAAGTCTTTGATTATTTTTTCTTTAATGATTAATGGAACCAGTTCGATTTTGTCTTTCGTGTGTGGTGCATCGCTCGATGAAAAAGTGTGAAACATAGCTGACTTTGACACAGGAGGGACAAAATTGGATTCCAGGTATAGAAATATTATATTTCTTTACCTGTATTTTTGGACAATGTCGCAAGCTTTGACCTTCTAGCTAGGTATTTTGTGATTTGTACAATACATTGAGTGGATGATCCAAGATTTGGAAAATTCACGTGTTTACGGGTGGATGGCTTCGTAAAGCGCATGGACATTAAAACTTGTTGCTGGTCAAAATGGTACATTGAAACCGAGACCATTAAGGCCTTTGGCCACCAAGGAAAAAGAAGAAGAAGAAGATTAATGGAAGCGCTCTGTTAAACATCTGCCTTCTTCGAGAGTTCAGTCGACACTGTGCGCAAGTCAGTAGCATAATAACAAAAAATCGCAGATTTGAGGTTAAATATCTGTCACTTTTAATAGTATTGAGGTTATTGTAATGTAATATGTAATACTGATAGAAGAATTAAGATTATTGAAATTGTAATTTTACCTTTTTTGTAATTTGAGAATAGTAAGAAAAACTTATTAAAAAAAATGACTCTCTGATGAAATTCTAAAATTACCAACATGTTTTCATAGCAACCAGTATATACAAGTAACATTGGTATTATTGTAATAATTTGATAGTGAAAATATAGCTGGACAAATGTTAAAAGTTTTTCTTCGGAGCTGAGCAACTTTTGAATTTTGCAATTCTGGTGTGAAAACATAAAAACACTACTATTTTTAAGTTTTTTCGGCTACTATATATTTTTTAACCCTTAAGTCGTCGGGCGGGGACACTAACTTACCCTATAAGTGTCAAATAACCCGGCCGTGCCCATCTAACCTCATTCTCTGTACTAGCGTTAAGGGTTAGTTTGAAATAGCGTGCGATAAAATGTACTAATAATAATAATATATATAGGTATATATTATTATTATTATTAGTACATTTTATCGCACGCTATTTCAAACTTGACATACATATATGTATGTCCAGGCAGCAGGCTTAATTTTTTAGTACTAATTAAATGGTGTTGGTAAAATAGGATAATAGCGTTCAATAAGTTCCTCATTACTTTGTTAAATGTAGGTTCAACGTTTTAATTTTATTTGTAAATCAATAGATATTTATAAAACTGGGCAAATTTAAATTAAATTTTTAAACACTAAATTGTAATATGTCATTTTCATTTTCATATACGTGTCTAAATTTATGTTAATCTATATTTTGTATAAGTGGGAAAAGCGTAAAAACTTACCAATATTTTCCACACCCAAGGCGTTCGCTTTCGACTCCTTACTTTTATCGTCTCGATTACACACATCGCCTGTATTTTTCCACCACTTGTCGTACAAAATTTGAATAACGCCCTTCTCTTGCAACTCAAGTATTGCCAAGGAAATCTTGTCACGCCATGGGCTGCCTTTTGGTGTCGCTATACCATATCCCTTTGAATCCAACAAGCCGCCAATTTGGGTTAAATTGCAGTCTCTTTGAACCACGTAGTCCAACATCGTTGATTCCATCAGAAACGCATAGTTACCTTCCAGCACTCGTTGGACTCCTTCGTCGTAGGATTTTACGAACACGTTTGGTTTTTTGTTTTCCATAAATCTCCACATTTTTTGATAAATGCCAATTTTTGAGTCCTGAAATCAAACTTAAAATTATATTTTTTGCTATAAACCAAACAAATCTTCTAGGTGGGGATAAGTTAAAAAAACACTTTTTGTGCTGAGGTCAAAGTTTGAAGGCCAACGCGTTAGCGGAGTCCTACAAACTAAGAGAAGCACAAAAAGACACGTCTCAGCCGAATGACATACTATACATTAAACGAACTACAATTATAATAAAAATTATTTAAGTATAAAGTGAGGTTAGATTTCAGAACGTCAGCAGTTATACAGGGTGAATCGGAAGGATCGCACCGAACTCTAGGACTGCATTCCATACATTAAATTAATTAAAAAAAACTCAAATGTTCTTATTCGATTCTCATTTGTTTTGAAGTTATAGCGTAATTAAAAAATAAATAAAATGAAACGGTAACATTTGTTTAATATTTATGACTTTTTATAAGGTGTTCAAAAATACCCCCATTGAGTTCTAAACATGCTCTGCTACGTCTGCGAACAGCGCCTGGTGCTTGTCCTATTAACTCTTGTTTTTCTTTAAGAACTGCGCCAGTATTAATTATTGGTTGAATTAGTGCCTTTCTATTATTCACTTTAACTTTGTAAACTTCTGTTTTAAACCAACCCCATAAACAAAAATCTAGTGGTGTTAGATCTGGACTTCTTGGAGGCCAACTAATTGGACCTCCGCGACCAATCCAACGCTCTGGAAACATTTTCATCTATGTAAGTGTTGCTTGACCTCACGAGCGAAATGTGCTGGGGCTCCATCATGCTGATAGTACATTCGCCTTCTTACGTTTACAGGGACATTCTCTAGTAATCCTGGCAACTCATTTATTAAAAAATTAAGGTAGTGTTCCCCTGTGAGGCGATTCTCCATGATAAAAGGGCCAATTAAATACCGAGCAATCATAGCACACCACAAATTTACTGAAAACCTGTGCTGAAAATTGGTTTCGACTATTATAGTATGGGGATTTTCGTCAGACCAAACGTGAGAGTTGTAAAAAGTATACGCAATACAACTCTACGATTGTTAGTTACCCACCGACAAAATTTCACACGTTTAGCATAATCTTCCGGGTGTAGAAACTGTCTACTCTTTGTAAATGGTATGGGTGAAGTGTGTGTATTAACCGTTTTTGTAAAATGTCCAATTGAGTAGTGATGCATCTTTTTCCACTAGATCCAAAATATTTTCCACTTCTTCTAAAGTTTGTCGATCAGCTTTTTCAGATGTTATTTTAGCACTTGGAAGAGTTCCTCTCTCGAAAAATTGGTAAAAAACTCGAATAAACACTTTTTTGTCAGGAGCCCTTTCACGTGGAAAACGTCGCCGATATTCTTCTACAGCAGCTGTGGCATTGCCATTACAAAAGCCATAAATAAAAACCATATTAGCGTACTCTAAATTTGAATAAACTTTTGGCATTAAAAAAAAATTAAACTGAAAAATTACAAAAATACCACTGACGCTGACAGTTAGGCCTTTTAAATATAAAAAATATGTATATGTAACTATGGAAACAAAAACTTTGATTCCATAGTTTTTTAAAGAACATTAGATAATAATTTATTATTTTAAATTTAATTTTTTTTTAATTTCGCTATAACTTGAAAACAAATAAGAATCGGATAAGAACAGTTGAGTGTTTTTTTATTATTTTGATGTGTAGAATGCAGTCCTAGAGTTAAGTGCGATCCTTCCGATTCACCCTGTATATTAAATTTTTTTTCTAGAAATGAGAGCTTGCGAGATTCCTTTGCTGGTACCTAACACACGCAGTCGCGTGCGGAAAAAGTAGCACTAGTTAGTTTAATAACTAACGTTCTGTAGACAGAAAACTGTTGTTTTTACACTTTTTGACCGCTGTTACTTTTTATTTACTACGAACAGTGATTGAATTGTTTTTTCACAGTGCTGCTAGTATACGAACAAGTAGTGTTTGTGGTTGATTTTCTGATAGATAAGTTGAAATATTACAAATAACATCGTAGTAAAATTTTTAACCTACATAGTAGATTCGGGTATTCAAGTACGCCATTACGCACTGAATATTTACTAAAGGCCACATTTTGTTTTTTTTCGTTTATTTTCGGGCTAACCTTTACTTTATTGTGTTGTATGCTACTGAAGCCATTATTTATGTTTTTATACCAAATACCGCAATGTAGGGTAATGCCGCACTTGAATCGTTTTTTGTTATATATATTTGTAGATATATATTTTGATGCTATATATTTTCAGGTAACCTGTAGTTAATTTTATTGCTTAGGTGTAAGCCACTAGCCGCCGTTTCTTTAATTGACGTACTGACAACAGTTCAGTTTTGTCTTTCGTGTGTGGTGCATCGCACTTTCATCTCTGGTAGATTGCTCGATGAAAAGTATGAAATATAGCTGACTTTGACCCAGGAGGGATAAAATTGGGTTCCAGGTATATAAATATACCTGTATTTATGGACAATATCGCAAGCTTTGACCTTCTAGCGAGGTATTTTGTGATTTGTACAATACATTGAGTGGATGATCCAAGATTTGGAAAATTCACGTGTCTATGGGTGGATGGCTTCGTGAAGCACATGGACATTAAAACTTGTTGCTGGTCAAAGTGGTTCATTGAAACCGAGACCATTAAGGCCGTAGGCCAACAAGGAAGAAGAAGAAGACTTACTGACGCATCTGATCGGTATGTAAATTACGTATAATTTGTCCAGAAAGTTCCCATTGTTTTTGGGTATTTATATTAAAAATAAGTACAATACAAAATATGCAAACAGGACTTTTTCGCTTAAGTTCTTTTCCTTGCTTTCTTTAAACCTCTTTAAAAGTTTTATACATTTTTTCATAGCGATGTTTTAACCTTTTTATTATTATAGAGTAACGTCTTATTTTTTGTAATTGTTCAATGTCAATGTTTTTTTCGTTCCCAGAATCACTTATGGTTTTTTATAAATAAAAGGTAACTTCTAACAGCTTGTAACACGCGTTTAAGAATAACGTTACATCACAACAGTTACTATGCGTAGAATTCAAAAATATAATTACTAACGTATCCTAACAACGAATTTAAAACATTGTTAAAAGTTTTTGATAAAAAACGTGCTCAAAATAATAATAAGCAAGCAATTTTTATTAAATGTATAAAATCTCAAATACCTTACTCCGATCTCCTCAAATATTGGCCAAACATTGTCGTCGATCTAAACTGTTTTTGATACTTAATATACTATAAGCCTTATAGTATAAGGCAACATGACTACATTAAATATATAATATGTATAATATACATATATGTATATATACATATATATATATATATAATAATTAATTATATATGTATAAGGCAACATAAAAACATTAAATTTATATAAAGAAACAAGTTTTAAATAGTTGTGTTTCCCAGCCTCTAAATGTTTTTTGTGACATCGTGGCACAAAAAATATTTTTAATTTTAAGAATAAAGCAATTTAAGAAGATTTATCCTATTAATATGATTTTCTTAAATCCATAGAAGACATTTATAAAAGTTCTTAATTTATGCTAAAATTAAATATAATAAAATTAATGCTGCGTCCCATAAGATCTGTTTCTAATAACCGTTTTAGTAATATTTGGACGGTAAAAGAGATTTAAAGTTATATCTTGAAAAGCTATTAGTCACATTAATAACTCCATTATAACCTTTAATGGAAAATTCCGAAAATAAAGCACCCCATTTCAGTGTTTCTTTAAAATACGTAACAAAAACACTAAAAATGAATAAGTGTACGAGTATTCGGAACGATTACCGTAAAACTTAACACCTTTAAAACAAATTTCAGACAGTTATACTCACCCTAAAAAAGGTCATAGTGCTGCCCCCTTCCAAGGTGCCGTAGGCAATTTCATTTTGTTCGGCAAGATCCTGGGCACTTTCAATGGGTGTAATCATCCGTTCCACTGTTAGGAACGCCGCCAAATTTGCTGTATACGATGAGATTATTATCAGGGTGAAAAACCACCATATACCGCCCACTATTCTGGTCGAGGTAGCCTGCAATTTATTGTGTTTTGTTGGAAAATAAAAGTCGATACAAAACTATTTCTTTTCAAGACTAATGAAACGTAAGTATATAAAATGTTGCTATAATGGTTTCAGAATACATAAAATTGTTTATTTACTTATCTACATAGGTAGCTATAGCAAACTTAAACGAAAAGCATATTTCTAAAATACCACTAAACATAAAATATTGAGTTAATGCACACCTCTAGCTCTAGTATTTTCATTTTATGATTAGACAGAATTCCTAAAGTGAGTCCTTGATTTTATATGCATAATGGAAAATTTAAAAAAAGTCATATGGTACCAAAGTAATAATAATACTACTTATACAGGGTGTCCCACAATTAGTGCGACAAAATGAAGGTGTATTTTTCCAGAAAATTGTTTAAACAATTCTTTCTTCACAAAAAACAACAATGTTAAAAAATGCCAAATTTAAATGTCAAAATTTGTTACTTTAAGTTATAGGTTATTTATTTTACGTCAGACAGGGAGTCTATCGGAAACTATAACTATAATAAAACCATAGATTAAATTAGACATGGCATGGTATCCCATAGCTCATCTGGCCGATATGAATTTAATTTAGGGGGAAGCCGGCGGTAGGAGACTAAGAGCCGCACATACGAGGCATGTTTTACGGGAGACGGCTTTTTAACAGTCGCAATAGTCATATTTGGGATTACAAAAATCGCCACGCCATTGCTTTGCGACGCAATCAGTTTTCGGTGAACATTCGGGCCGGTATTGTGGGCAACCAGGTAATCGGTCCATACCAGCCGCGTTTGAATGGGCCGACTTACCTGCATTTTTTGGCTAATGTTCTTCCCGACCTCTTGGATGATGTCCAAATTTACCGAGATATGTGGTTTCAGCACGACGGGCGCCTGCCCACTTTGCCCAATTGGTTCGGCAACATCTCGATGACGTTTTTCCAAACACATGGATTGGACGAGGCGGTCCGACTCGTTGGCCCGCACGATCTTCGGATCTTACTCTTTTGGATTTTTTTCTTTAGGGTCACGTGAATACCTTGGTCTACGAGGAACCGATACAGAACGAAGAACTCCTCGTCATGGTAAGGGCAGCATTCACTCACGTGCAGGGTACTCTGGGTATATTTGAGAGGGTTCGTATGGCGATGAACAATCGAGTAAGATTGTGCATTGAACAAAATGGACGTCATCTTGAGCAACTTTTGTAAATTCTTAAAATAAAACTTTTATTGTTAATATTAGGTAAAATTAGTTTTTCTTCATAGATTTAATCTATGGTTTTATTAGTCCCCTTTAGGACATTAAAATTTGGCATTTTTAACATTGTTGTTTGTTGTCATGATGATTAAGAATTAAACTATTACTTTGTTATGAGGCAATGTTCCCATATAAAGAAAATATGACTCCCCTGTATCTTATTAAATAATGAAGAAAGAATTTTTTAAACAATTTTCTGGAATTCCTGGGGGTCTTTAGATAATACACCTTCATTTTGTCGCACAAATTGTGGGACACCCTGTATATATATATATTATATAATATATTAATTATTTGTATATGAACTTTTGTATATATATATATTAGGGTGTGCCAAAAAACCTCGATATTTTTTTTTCTTGCTCTCAACCCAAAATATCGTAGAATATGTCCGAACAAATATTCTGTTAAAAGCAGAGCTCATAATTTCAATTTTAAGAGGTCCTCCATCGAATCTGAAGTTTTGCCGCTTAAATAACACAGAAAACTGACTTTTTTACCTTATTTATTCTTGCAACCTAGGAAGAAATTTTTTTTTCATAAAATCCATGACTAATTCTTACAAAGCATTAAATTTGGACAAAAAAATCTTATTAAGCTGAATTTCTATTTTCAATATTTGATTTTTTACAGAGCTTTAAATTTAAAGTTAATAATACAAAAATGATGACTTTATACGCCTGTAACTTTAAGAATATTGACGATACAAAAAATTCGCCTAAAACTTTTTTGTGGTCCATCAGACAAGCTAAAAAATTGCCATTTGACTTTTTCGTCTAACTTAAATAGTTTAGCTGAAAAAGGCAAAAAACGTAAAATTTTAAATTTAAAGCTCTGTAAAAAATCAAATAATGAAAATAGAAATTCGGCTTAATAAGATTTTTTCTTCCAAATTTAATGCTTTGTAAGAATTAGTCATGGATTTTATGAAAAAAAAATTTCTTCCTAGGTTGCAAGAATAAATAAGGTAAAAAAGTCAGTTTTCTGTGTTATTTAAGCGGCAAAACTTCAGATTCGATGGAGGACCTCTTTAAATTGAAATTATGAGCTCCGCTTTTAACACAATATTTGTTCGGACATATTCTACGATATTTTGGGTTGAGAGCAAGAAAAAAAAAATATCGAGGTTTTTTGGCACACCCTAATATATATATATATATATATATATATATATTATATATATATATATAATAATAATAATACAACCGGCCATATTTATTTAGAAAATTAATTACATGTTAATACTGAAAATTGTTGGGTTTGAGTATTAGCTGAACTTAACATGGATACAATGGACTACTGAAAAAAAAATATTTTTTGTTACCTACTTAATTTTCGTATGGCTTTTAAAATTTTCAGGATAACATGAAAAATCAAGGGCCCACTTCAGGAATTCTGAGTCATTATACTTATAAAATTGTAAAGCAATCGTAAGCATTTCTTAATGGATTTTATTATTTTTTTTAGTATTCCTTTTTTTTCTTTTAATATGACACTTGGGAAATAAAAATGCATTAACATTTTATAAGAATGGGTTTACCGTTTCAGTGTTTTTTAGTTTGGTTTGGTACAAAACTTTTTAAAAAGTTTTTATAAATATATAAATTATTATATAATTATTGGACTGACCAAAAATTTAATTTAAAATTTAAAACATATTTTTTTTTTTCAATTGCGGAAACATATATCTTGCGCGACCTATTAGTACCTATCTGAGAAAAGGGACCTAGTATCTAAAATCATGTGTTGTAACGCTCGACTTTTTAAATTTAAAGCAATGTCAAAAATTTGTATAAACAAATTCTATCTGCACCTTTCGGAGAATCGTTTACCACTGTACTTAAAATTTTGATAATCTTTTGTTGTTCAAAAAAAGTGTTTCAACACATCTTTTGTTATTTAAAAAAAGTGTTTCAACACATATGTACCAACAGAAATACATTTTTGCAACGAATTGGACAGCTTTTTATCAAAGAAAACTTGATTGGACAATTATATCTTGATCTTTAAAATGTTATAGACCCACTACGGACATTTAAACATAAGCTCATAATTAAATTTTAACGTGTCGTAATATATCGCACATGGGCGACAACAGTGTCATAAGTAGTAAAACGATAATTCCGATATAAGTTAACGTAAAAGATTTTTGAATAATAAAATTCTTACATTTTTGTAAAATTATATTAACTTACAGTGTTAGTTAATATAATTTTACAAAAATGTCAGAATTTTATTATTCAAAAATCTTTTACGTTAACTTATATCGGAATTATCGTTTTACTACTTATGACACTGTTGTCGCCCATGTGCGATATGTTTACGTGTATTATACACGTAAACATATATTACGACACGTTAATATACATTGCATTTGTTTACATTGTGTTGTATTGTATTTTTGTATATTGTAAATTGGTCATACCGTTAATAAAGTTATTATTATTATTATTATTACCCAGTCAATAGAAAATTAGATGGACGAACGAGGTAACATGTTGCTTGATGAAGAAAATTTGTACTTTCAGAGATAAAGCTCCTTCTTAATATGCTACCAGTCAGATAATGGTTGAACCAAAGGTTTCCCGAGAAATGGATTGGTAGAAGAGGTCCTCCCGGCAAATAACGGAGTACATTTTAAACATTTAAAATATTTTGTTTATGGATTTTTTGTTTTATTTATATCACATCTTTTTTGGTTTAAACTTGCAAATGCGTGATTGGATTTTAATTTTAACTTTAATGGATTAAAAATTTCAATACCTTTAAAATGATGATTCGCAAGGTATGGGGTGCCATTTAAAATATTTTAGTAAGGGTAGCGGAGGTTAGAGGGTGCAACATAAAATTTTAACACTGTACAAATCCATTCTCGATATCTAAACACAAAAAGTTATTAAGGGTGGCTAGTTTTTAATTAAAAGCCCTGTATTTTATAATGACAAAAATACATACATATAAATTATCTTTAAACTTAATTAAAAACCTTTTTGAGTAACTAATAGGCAACTCTTCAAATTTTGTGCCTAACTTTTCAATTAAATGCAACTAACATGTTAGTAGTCTAAAGCTATCATGCATATACCCCACGTAATACTGAATAATTTAATTTGTCTATAAACGAGAATCAACGTGGAATCTTTAATTTAATCGATAACGATGAACGTTAAATACATTGAGCAGGCTAACATAATAATGTCCTTAATCTCTGCAATATGGTTTCAAGTATCAACCGTAATGCAAATGGGATATGAAATCGACGATTTAATTTATTTCCATTTGTAATTCTGTTTTAATTAAAATTTAATTGCAGTGTTTTTACATGTGATGTATTTGGGAACGTATTCTTCTAAAACAAATTTTAATTCATTGTAGCATATTTAACCGGTTACCAGTTTTAATATTGAAATTCTTATTTGCCAATTAAATTTCATACCTAAAAAGTGGTATACGTTTTTTAACAAATTACATATTTTTAAACCATTGCTACATCCAGAGGATTTGATGATTTTCGTTTTTTAGCAAAATTTGTCTTAATGAAACATAAAAGGCAGTGTCTAAACAACATTACTTAGTGATACATTTTGGTTTAGATATTATACTTCTATAGAAGTTATTTAAAAATAAAGTTCATATAAAACATGATATGCAACGTAGGCATATCTGTAGTAGGAACTCTTCATAAAAAAACATACTTTATTAGTCTAGTTCACTCGATAAACGCATAATAGGAAT